CGCCATGGCATCCCCGGAAGGATCAAACTGGGTATTCGACTGCCCTCTCATGGACGACCTTGCTGCCGCCGACTTCGCCGCGGCATCCACAGGAGGCTTCTACTGGACCCCGCCGATGCAGCCGCAGATGCACACTCTTGCGCAGGCCGTCTCCGCCACCCCGGCTCCCAATCCCTGGTATGTAATTGCGGTTTCTCCTCTTCTCAGGCTCGATCGCGCCCACACGCGGCTGTTCTCCAGTTTATACATTCCGCGTCCTGATTTGCTGCCGGTGTCTCTATGTTATCACCTATAGCATAAACCGATGCGGTTGATAGCATAATTGTTGTGTGTGATTGTAGATTAGTAAAACACTACAGAGTATGTGGTATTTGCATCATGGACTAAAGATTGCATGTTCTAGAATTACTTACATGAGCGAGCATCTTTGTTTGTGTATTAGTAGTTGACTTTGCTTGTCTCATTGGTGTTGGGTTAGAGGAGATGGTTTTGCACATGAATTTAAATGGGTCTTGTGGAAGGTGCATGGCAGGACGGAGTGTTCAGTATGTCCAGGGCTCGTTTGGTTCGGGTGCATATACTACATATGCAGTGCATAGAATGCATACACAGTTTCACTCTTATTCGAGGAAAGTATAGTTTCCTCCTAAAATCCTCCTTGATGGATGCATATCCTCCTAAACTCTAAAACCAGATTATTTAAACCCTGAACTTTGCAAAACTGGTATATAAATGTCACCCTGAGCAGTTTTGGGGAGAACTTAGTTTTGATCTGATTTTTTTTTTCACTTCGTCAGAAAGTTCACAGGCATTTTTGGATCTCTTGTCACTAGAATTTGCCTAGGGATGGAATAAGATTGAACCTTCTCATAGTTCCCGATGCGCTGGATGGAGGGATCTCCAGAGACGAGCACCGGCTCGGCCTGCTTGATGGCCTTGTGCAGGTCCCTCAGGTGTCCCCAGTTTGACTGCCTAAGCAGACCTGCGCACCATGACAACAATGGTTTCAGACAATCAGAGTACTGGTCGCGTACCATATTCGTCGATCGGTGCATCATGGTCGTAGCTTGTCGTGGCGATGAACAGGCCATCGGCGGTCCGGTCGAAATTTGTTCCTCCATGGTACTGAAAAAAAGATCAAATGTTAGGTGTCGCTACAACTTAAAACCGAAACATCGAGTGACAACATGTGGTAGTCAGCATCAGTTGCTCACCATGTAGTAGTTGACGAAGGACCCGCACTTCTGAATGAACCTTACCACCGCGAACGCCATGTCCTCTACCGGCCGGTGCGGCACCGCGCCACCAAATGCCATGAACCTTACATCAATCGACATATTCGATCGTGTCAGCAATGTCGTGACATGCTTGCTGTGCAGATTGCAATTCAAGTGCTGTTTGTCGAGAAATTTTCACGCTTCATGCAAACTTACCATCCAGGCCAGGCCTCGGTCCACATGGTAGGCTTGCTGTTGGAGTTGGGGGTGAAGTAGTTGCAGTAGAAGCCATTGCAGGCATCTTCTTTGCAGCCATCATGAATCTATTCATCATTACCCAGGGAACAACTGACAAATCTGTCAATTTTATAGAAGAAAAGGAACGAATTAGCACAGAGTATATATTTTGTGGTGCCAGTACCAGGCTCCAAAGTTGGCAGCTTGATTTGGTAATGTGATGTCCTAACAGAAGCATGTGCCCAGTGCGAGAAAGCGAAGTGGTTAAATTAGCTGGCACCGCAATTTGCTCTTTGCCATTGCGCCATGGGCCATGGCATTGACAGCAACTGTGAGACGAGAACGAGAACGAGAGGGTGTTGTAGTTTACCGTGGCGTCGGGGGCGTTGTCATGCTTGCACATCACCCACGGCACGCTGGCGTTAGTGGTGACGACCATCTTGGTTGCCCAGTTGGTGTACGGCTTGGCGCAGACGCCCATCGCCTACTCCATGTACCCGTCTCCACCTGGGCAAGGATGATGGGGCCACCCTGCCACTCGAACAGCCCTCTGACTTAATCATTGACATGAGCTTCTCCACGAACGTCTGCATCGCCGCCTGCGTGCATGCATGTCCACAACTCAATTCTGTCAAATTCAAAACCTGATTTCCTAAGTTTCGCCACAGCAGAAGAAAATCAAAATCGCGTCATTCGCCTGCGTCTGTTGTAATTCAGCCAGAAACTTGAATGGACCTTGTCAGTCCAGAAACTGATGCCTGGCACGTACTTGAGTCTTCTTAGTCACCGCCGCGCCCGACCGCGACGTGGTTCTCTGCCCGGCGCTCCCTTCCGCCGTGCTCGCGCTGCTGCGACTGCTCTGGCCACCTCGCCGCCGGCTCCGCCTGGCCTGCCCAAGCGGTACTTCCGGTCACGCAGGTGAGGAGAGGAAGAAAAAATCAGATCAAAACCACCTTCAATTCTCCTCAAAACTGCTCAGGGTGACATTTATACCGGTTTTGCAAAGTTCAGGGTGTAAACAATCTGGTTTTAGAGTTTAATTAGGGGGATATGAATCCATCAGGGAGGATTTCAGGGGTAAAACTATACTTTCCTCTTCTTATTCTGGATCACTGGATGAGCAAGGGCAGAGTTCAAATGAAAAAGGTTGACATGGTCATTGGCATTGCCAACATTTGGGGATGTATACCCCTAATTGTTTTCTTTGATTACTGAGACGAATTTATGTCTGATAAAGCTAATGGTATCAGATTTATGTGCTCGGGGTTTGTATTTTAAGTGGTCTGAATTTCCATAGCAAGACTATGTAAAGTAGATCATGCTACATGTTACTTTGTGTCGGATATCGAGCAGTCTCATGTTACTTTGATGTATCAAGGATCAGAAAGAAAATGGGTGAGATGAGGGTTGTTTTGGTGACCCATATGTTGGAATTCCAGCATAGCCGAGCAAGTATTGCTGATTTATTGGCATATATGTTTCCATCTTAAGAAATTATTTATGGTTACACCTTAGGGCATGACTGCCCTTTGGTTAATGATATTTCTCTGAGTTGTCATATTCGCTGCATGAACAGAGGCAGCCTCCTGTGTTGTTTAGATGTAGAACCATGCTTCTTTTTTTCATTCCAGTATTTCACCTGCTGTAGGTTATCTGGTAAATTTGCCCAAGCCTTATTATATTGCCCTTGCTACGCTTGTCTTTGAAACTTATGATTTTGCACTATATCATGATTTTGACATTCTTAACTGCAAATGTGCTTTTCACCAGTGCTGAGTCTTATTTTGGCTTTGCAATGCTAATGTTGCTGCTTATTATTGTGCAGTATATTGTGAATTTTACATTCTTATCTGTGATTTACTTTTTGCCAGTGCTGAAATCAATAGCTCTGTTTCGGTGGACTGGGACCATGCCAAAGGACAACCGAAAAATAAACGGTTTGTTTATGTCTATATGCTTTGTTCGGAGTCCCTGAATTCGGTATTTTCTGTTGAATGTTTCCAACTTAGCACGCAATTGCAACAGTCCTAGGTCAGAAACTGGTGCTCAACCTAGCTCCAAAGCATGCAGGGAGAAAGTGAGAAGGGACAAGCTAAACGAGAGGTCTGCCAGCAATTTCATTTTGTTTATTCTATTAGAATTGTTTTTGTTGTAGCAGCATTTTTGTCTTAGGTTCAATGGAGCTTATGGTCTTCTGCCTGTTAGGTTCTTGGAATTGGGTGCTGTCTTGGATCCGGGGAAAACACCTAAAATCGACAAATGTGCTATATTAAATGATGCTATCCGTGCAGTAACTGAATTGCGTAGTGAGGCAGAGAAGTTGAAGGATTCAAACGACTCTCTCCAAGAGAAGATTAGAGAGCTAAAGGTTTTTATTGTTCCACTTAACTATTTTGTATGCAGATGTGTGTCCATATACTTTTTCTTTATGTTCTGAACTTATATTTTCTGTTCCATACAGAAATATATCTAATGTTCACACAAGCTTTTCTTAATCTGCTTTTTTGGGGTGCCAAGGACTACTGTTTATTGAATCCATAGGCTTTTAGATGAGTAGATCTCAAGCAATCCATCAGCTCTTAAACCTGCTTTATTTATTTTTATTAATTTCTGTTTAAACATTACTTTCTGATTAATAATTGGTATCAAAGATTCTTGTAAGGTATATATTTGTGGTAAATCTTTAGTCCAAACAAATTGATTCTTAGATCCCTGGATTTTGCAGGCTGAGAAGAATGAGCTGCGAGATGAGAAGCAAAAGTTGAAGGCGGAGAAAGAGAGCCTGGAGCAGCAGATTAAGTTCATGAATGCCCGTCAGAGCCTCGTACCACACCCTTCTGTCATCCCAGCTGCTGCATTCGCTGCCGCCCAAGGCCAAGCGGCAGGGCACAAGCTGATGATGCCTGTAATGAGCTACCCAGGATTTCCCATGTGGCAGTTCATGCCGCCTTCAGATGTTGATACCTCGGATGACCCCAAGTCATGCCCTCCGGTTGCATAGGCCAGCAAGAATCATTTCCCTCATCTATCTCATGGGGAAGGATGGCTAAAAAGCCTTCCGTTAAAGTATATCTTACTAGTCGTCAGTGTTACTATGCAGAATCCGTTTAGTGTTACTACTATGTAGTTAAACCAAGAACCGAACTGAAGCTTGTATCACCCGGGGACATTTGATTATCTTGTGACACCGTTGTATATTGTTAGTAAATAAATACCATCCGTTGAAGCAAATGGCGATTGGACGCCATAGCATTATCGGCTTCTTACTTTGTTTGACATGTTGCCCGTGATATTTATTTTTTGATGCATAACATAAATAGGTTGTGCTGCAGGTCAAAATACAACAACAACAACAACAACAACAAAGCCTTTAGTCCCAAGCAAGTTGGGGTAGGCTAGAGGTGAAACACATAAGATCTCGCAACCAACTCATGGCTCTGGCACATGGATAGCAAGCTTCCATGCACCCCTGTCCATAGCTAGCTCTTCGGTGATACCCCAATCCTTCAGGTCTCTCTTAACGGACTCCTCCCATGTCAAATTCGGTCTACCCCGCCCTCTCTTGACATTCTCCGCACGCTTTAGCCATCCGCTATGCACTGGAGCTTCTGGAGGCCTGCGCTGGATATGCCCAAACCATCTCAGACGATGTTGGACAAGCTTCTCTTCAATTGGTGCTACCCCAACTCTTTTTCATCTCCATAAGAGTGGCTGAGTTTTTACGTTGGCTCGCCAAGCCTATCACAACCCTCCTCCTTTACCCGGGCTTGGGACCGGCTATGTTAAGACAACATAGGCGGAGTTACTGCAGGTCAAAATAAAAATAAAAATAAATAGGCTGTGCTAGCTATTAGTTGGTCTTCTTGCATCCACTTGGCCTACCAATTCTTCCATGTGAAAACGCATTGCAAAGTCCAGGTGGAACCAGGATGGATGCACCTGTGGTGTGTATGTTGTGTTGGGTAATGGGTACAACGTGACGACCTCTCTTAGCAAGACGTGCCCTCTACTCATCTTATACAGTATATACTAATAAATTTGTTCATGTTCTCCTGCAATAGTAGTTTAGAATTAAGCTCATATTTGTATCTTTGTAATTTCCAGCTAGTTACACCGTCTTTAACATTTTTGTTTTTTATCTAGTGCGTGCATTTTATAAAACTAAACTGGATCATGTCCATTCCGTGTTCCTGGCGCCTCCAGGAGCAAATATGCTAGTACAGCAACACAACTTTCATAATCGAAAAGATAGACTGAAAACATTAGGAGAATGGCTAGGGGACAGTCAACTGAATTTAGAACTACCATAATCGAAAAGATAGACTGAAAACATTTGGGGAATGGCTAGTGGACAATCAACTGAATTTAGACTCCGCATCTGTCGATTTGCCCTCAGCCGTTGGATGGAAAAGAAACCGTCAGACCTTCTATCTCCTGAAAACATTGTTCATTGTCTTCTGCCTCCTGACCTCGATCTGAACCACTCACAACTGCCAGCCGAACCGTCTGCCCACCGCCGCCCATCACCGGCGGCGCTTCCGCGGCCGCCTCATTGCCTAGCCCTCCCCTCAACCGCCGTGCTGCTGTCACCCTTGACCATCCCTCTAACCCATGCGATGATCAGTTTCTTTGGGGGAAATTGCACCAGCCCCCACACCTCTAAGATAAATAATGGGGTCACTTGCCTACCTAAGACGACAAGCTCCTTCCTTCACATGAAAATTGACGAACCCAAATTCTAAATTCAGGCGACTTACATAAGCTATTGTGCACATTAATCTGAGTTTTTTGTTTGTGGATAATTGACGCAACCAAAGCTGATCAAAATGTAGTACTAGCATATTACGAAGATCGGCTTCAAAATGAGGTTACATAGTAGGGAGCTGTATCCACACATCAAGTACAAGGAATTAACACCAGTAAATAAAGCTTAAACAAGAAAGAAAGCAAAAAGCCTTTGGTAGAAAGAATAGTTAACCACGCCTCGAAACGAATACTCATACCACCTTGTGTACGTACGTACGTACGTGCATATCGTACAACGGTAGCTCGAACTAGAGCGTCCGTAGAAATCGTCCGTTTGTTGCTTCATCGTCAACTTACGCGGCAATGGCCACAAGAGCAGCGATCGCAAGCCCGGCCAAGGCCGCCGCCGGCTGCTGATACCGCGGCGCGGACGCAGACGCGGCCGCGGGCGTGGAGGTGGTCGGGGCGCCCGCCGGCGCGGCCTTGGCGTCGGCGTAGGTGTCAGCGGGAGGGGAGGGGAGCGAGGCCGGAGAAGGGGCGGCTGCGGCCGCTGCTTCTTCCATCTTGGCGGCGGTGGCGGCGTCGTACGGCACGGTGCTGATCTTGAGGTGCATTGTGCCGTTGGTGCAGTGGCGGGGGATGCCGCAGATGAAGTAGCGGGTGCCGGTCTCGCCGAGCTCGAAGGTGGTCTTGCCGCCGGAGTGGGTGGAGATGGGGCTGCCCGTGGCGCAGCTGCCGTAGTCCGCCTCCGTCACCTCCAGCACGTTGTGGTACGGCTCGTACTTGAACGCTGCCATGTTGATGCACGCGGCCGGAGTTATACCACGCTGCCCTACCGTCGAGAAGAAAACATGTAGAGTGTAGATCATAGGAAGTTTGTGCACGTACTTATGGTGTCGCCGACCATGAAGACTTTGTCGGCGATCCACTTCTCGTAGTCGACGTACGTGTCCCAGCCGAGGGAGTCGTCGACCGTGTAGTCGATCGCCAGCGCCGTCGTGGCCAACGCCGCCACCGCCATGACGGCGAGCAATGCTCCGGAGCTGGCCTTCATGTCTCCTCCGCGTAGATCCAAAGGACACGAAGTGGATTGTTGGTGGATGTTTGGTTCTGTGATCGTCTTGAACGATATTGCTACAACCAGACCAGGGTGGGGGTATATATACCGGGAGCTAGAACAAGCAAAGACTTTCTCTTCTAATCGTTTTTTAATTTTATTCCAGAAAAAAAGTATGTGTGTTTATGGCCTGCCATGAAACATGTACTGTAGGAAAGAGGAGAGATTGCAGGGTGATTCGAATAGCTGTGCTCCGTTCAATTAATTGGCAAATTTGGAATCCAAAACGATTGATTATACTGTACATCGCACACCTGGTTCATTCTGGAGCCGTGCTAAGTTGACTCCCGATCCTTAGCCACACAAAAGTATGCTTCTCTTGCAGTAGCTCCAATTGGAAACTACTCAAATAATACGAGGATATGAGCACGAACAGTTGAGATTTTAATCTTGTGAAATCATATAGAGTTGCATAATCTTGTGAAGAAAAAACAAATTTAAGTTTTCTTGACATATTTTAGCTGGCGAAGTTCAACGCAATATAGATGAGTTGACATGCGAGATTCTCAGTTAATTATTGGTGATTCCTTCTACGTGAGCACAAGTCCCTTGCTGCCTCCGTACCCGGGCATGACTCGCCTGTTAGTGCCTTCGTGCTTCCCATGATCGATCGATACATTATACATGGCCGACCTCATGACAAGTTGTCATTGCACAGATCTTGCTTTCTCGTTTTCTCTTCCGCACTCTTCCAGATTATCATTTTTAATTGTAGTTTGTTTTAATGCACTAACTAACATGCCTGCCTCGTTTTTTTTTTGGATAGAGACACCTTTTTCTTTTCTAGCTCGTCTGAAGGGTTTCCTCCACATGTAGCTACTGGCCAGTCCATTTTCGTCTTTTTTTTTGTTTTGCAGTTTTAGAATGATTAGGTTTTCTTGACGGGTTTTTAGATCGATTAGGTCGTGCTCGCTTGCTTCTCCCGACTTTTTTGTTTTTTTTGTATCCTTTTATTCTTTATTTCGGTTTTTTGTTTCTTCACCAACTTTCTCATTTTTTCTGTTTTTCTTCATATCTTTCACTTTTTTTTCTTTGTTTCTTTCTCAGTTTTCATTTTTTTTGTGCTGTTCTTCCCTACTTTTTCTTCATTTTCATTGTCCTTTCTTGCTTTTCATCGGTTTTCTTTGTTTTCTTTCTGTTTTCATTCTTTTGCATTGGTTTTCTATGGTTTTTATTTTTCTGTTTTTAAAGTTTTTATTAGGTTTCTTTTTTTCCTTTGTTTATTTGTTTTTCTATTGGATTCTTTTTGTTTAACACATGTCAACTTTTTTGAGTACACATTCATCATTTTTTGTATACATAAGAAACATATTTTATGTAGACGTTTAACATTTTGAAATGCATGATTAATATTTAAAAAAAACTAATATTTTTCATGTCTATTTTTTCCATACACATTATACATTTTTGGTATATATCTAATACATATTTTGATACTCCCTCCGTTCCAAAATACAAGATTGTAATAAACTTTTTAATACATGTTTAACATTTTTCAAATACAAGATTAATATTCTTTAAATACATTCTCAACATTTTTTAATACATAGTGAACATTTTTAAAATTGCAATAAACTTTTTTTTAATTCACAATGTACATAGTTTGTGTGCATCATGAATGTTTTTATCTACATGTTTAACATATTTTAGATACAGAATATTTGTTGTACAAAAGAGTATACAAATATTCTTATGTATACACATTTTTAACATCTTTTGTGTACACATGTCAACGATGCTACTTTTATTTAATATTTGTTGTACATTTTTTGTGTACACCGGTGACGTGCCTCGTTGCTCCCCATAGTTGACATGTGTACCGGGTACATTTTTAACATCTTTTTTAAACGTATCATTTATTTACAATGTTCACCGGGTATTTTAAGAAGTTCAACTTGTATTAAAAATATCATCGTGTATATAAAGTTGAAAAAAATGCTCACATGTATATAAAAATGTTCATGCATTTAAAAATAATAATTCACGTGTTATTTAAAATAAACAGTGAACTTTTCTAAAATACACAATGAATATTGTTGAAACAAACAATGAATAATTTCTAGATACACGATGAACAATTTTGGAAAACAACAAACGTCTAAATACATGATGAACACTTTCTAGGTACAAGACGATGAACATTGATTAGTACGCAATGAGCATTTTTAAAGTATGCCGAGTAAAAATTTAAATATACAACCTTTTAAAAGTACATGATGAACATTTCTTAATAAACGGTAAAAAATGTAAATACATGTTGCACATTTTCTAAATACACTATGAACCTTTCTATAATACATGATGACCATATTGTGAAAACACTATGAATATTGTGAACCACCCGTGGTTCAAGTTCTAGATTTGACACTTATGCTCGCATTTTCCTTGATCATCTCATGTGTATTTGCAAATACAAGTTCAATCATCTCATATGTCAGTTCAGTCTCTTAGAAGTGCTCGTATAGGTATACATTTATATGAGCATCTGCATCTGTACAATATTTTCTATATGTGTTGAACAAAAAGATAAAAAATAAAAAAATAAAGAAACAAAAAGCGAAGAAAACAAATCAAAAGGAAAAAAATACCTGGAGCAACCGAGAAAATCAGAGTTATTAGTTTTACTAGACTTGAAAAGGCTGGCATCCTCATATATCTCTATCTTTACTTATCTTTACTACTTAAAAATAATGTAAGATCCCCGTTTCACCTTTTTCCCACCACCCCTTCGTCCAACTTTTCATTTACATGATAATCAATCATCTTAATTTACTTATCTTCTGAATCAATCCCATTATCAAACTTCTAATCAAAATATAAGGTAATTCACGAGCAGAATTTGATGAACATTTATTTACACAATCGCATTGTTATTGACAGGTAAATCACAAACTAACGCACTAGAATATTTATATCCCACTGCAACGCACATGTATCTCTACTACTTATACTACTTAAAAAAACGTAAGATTTCCGTTTCACCATTTTTTCCACCACCCATTCGTCCAACCTTCCATTGTATATGATAATCAATTATCTTAATTACTTACATTCTGAATCAATACCATTTTAATTTACTTATCAAACTTCTAATCAAAATATAAGGTAATTCACGAGCAGAATTTGATGAAAATTTATTTACACAATCGCATTGTTATTGACAGGTAAATCACAAACTAATGTATTAGAATATTTATATCCCGCTGCAACGCACATGCATTGTTCTATATTATTTAAAATATAGTAAGTGCCCTTTTAGGCCGAACACGCGTCGTTCAACTTTACGTATGTTCCCTGCCCTCTCTTTGTTTTGAATTTTCAACTTTACGTATGTTCCCTGCCCTCTCTTTGTTTTGATTTTTTTTTTCATCTTCACGTATGTTCCCCACCTTCTCTTCGTTTTCAAATTTTCCTTCCTAGGTTTTTCACCGTTTTTTCTTCAAAACGTCCTAACTGTCCGCATTTTATTGACTTATACCAAATAAAATTATGGTTCTTATCAAATAAAATTATAAATTTATTTAGGTAGGTAAATCACGTGCAAGATTTGATAAAGCATTTATTTACACAATCACATTAATATGTGCACATAAATCACAGACTAAAGTACCAGAATATGTACATCCCGTTGTAATAATTTAGTTGAGCAGAAAAATTGGCATTCTTTATAATCTATCACGCCATACATCAGCTTTACCATGACTTTTGTTCCCCACTCTTGCCAGTTGCAATCCCTATTAATAGCATCTTAGCAGTTCTACTTACATCCACATTGCAAAGATTCAGTAATAGACACCGATACAGCAGGGCCTCTTCCTCCTCCCAAGATCATTTCCAACAAGTTAAGATACTGACATACTGTACCGTAAGAAACACTATACACAGCTGGTTCAGTTAACTGCTTCAAACTATACAGGACTCATCTTGGCGAAAGCTCCGTGATTGACACTTGGTTCGAAGACATCACAGTTGAATTTTCCGTGAGCGGATATGCTTCCGAATAGGCAGTCGAGGTTTCACTGACACTGACCTCCTGGATGCAGAATGCCGGCCTGGACAGAGAAGGGAGACGGACGGTGTGGCTGCTGAACATGATATTCACCGACGACATCGTCGGCCTGCTCGCCGGTTTCCTCTGCACGCACAGGAGCCCGACGTGGATGCACTTGAGCACCTGGTCGACGGGAGGGTGGTTGCTCAGGGATGGATCCATCAACTCGACGACGTTTCCCCGGGTCCAGTGCTCCCATACCTGCAGCAAATTTTGCAAGGGTATTCAGACATTGTTACCAGAAGCTGGCCGCGTGCAGAGTTTACGGACAGGCTTCAGGTGCTCACAAGATTCAAAAGATCCACGTCTTGCTCAGTGTTATATGAGCCACTGTTTCTTCTCCCTGTGATGATCTCCAGGACCAAGACGCCGAAGCTGAACACGTCCGACTTGACGGAATACTGACCGCGCATGGCGTACTCCGGGGCCATGTATCCGCTGTGACAGAAACAGAACCTTACAACCCGACTAAAAACTTGGTGTTTTGTCAGACAAAATGTACTCGACATGCTTACTATGTGCCGGCGATACGACGAGTCACATCTTCTGACTGATCCCCTCCGAATATCTTCGCTAAGCCGAAGTCGGAAATTTTAGGATTGTAATCGACATCTAGTAGTACATTGCTCGCTTTGAGGTCTCGGTGAACTATCTTCAGTTGAGAATCTTCGTGGAGGTATTGCAAGCCTCGAGCGATTCCATTGATTATCTTGAACCGCTTTCCCCAGTCTAGCTCTTTGTTTTTTTCAGAATCTGTGGTTCAAACAAGTGTATCATTGTAGCATAGATTTTACTATTAGTTACGTGAATAAAATTTCAAAGCAAAAAAGAAAAAAATATTAGCGAGAAAATCTTACCAAAAAGAATCATATCAAGGCTTCTATTG